AGCTGAAAATGTCAGATAATCACTTTTCTGGCTCTGTGACAGCCAGATCACAGGCATGTGACCTAGGCTCAGCTAACTAGGATTATCCACCTGAAATTTTTAACATGCAGATAGCAAGGCAGGACTGGGAGAAATCCTTTTGGTAGGGATTGGAGAGGGAGTGGAGGTAGCGGTTTGAGCAACAGCCATGCCAGTGACGGTGTTCAATTCAGATTTGTGGTAGAGGCTGATGCATTTGTGTTCTGTAGTGCAGTAGGAATGGTGTCCTCACTCAACTGAGGTGCAATTTTCCTTGTGATTCTGACCATACAGCCTTCCTTTATTCTTGGCCATTTCCAATTCAGATTCTCCAAGCATTCTTAAACTTAATTGTGCTACCCAATTTCCTTTCAGTAATTCTTTTTCTGCTTTAATTGGCCAGAATTTGTTTCTGTTGCTTGGAACCCATTATTTGAACTGATATAACCAACTACCATTTATTGAGATCCTACTATTTGCCCCTCAACTTGATAAACTTTAGTTTGCTTCATCTATTTCTTTCTGTAAAATGGAAATTATTTCCCCCATTTTATCTTGTGAAAGAACAAAAATGAGGCTTAGAGAAGTCAAGTAGTAGAATTTATTTTTCTCTGTTACTTTAACATCTCCAGAAGAGGAACAACTAAACATGTGTGTCCTTTAAGCACACAGGCTGTACCTTTGTTTTATATTTTCTTTGCAGTCTGTAAGTATCAACAAGACTTTGTCTCCTATCTAAAAAAAAATTACTTTTCAGCTGAACCTAAATGAATAGGTATGGTCTGGGAAAAGACAGATCTTTTTTACTTCAAAACATTCTGAAACTTTTTATTATCAAAGTTATTTACATTTCTAATGGTAAAATCGGAAAACAACTTAAAACTCCAATAGTGGAAAGTAGTTAAATTATAGACAATACTTTTGAAGGACTATTATTTAGACATTTAAGTTTTTATTTATAGAAACTGAAATGTTATGGAAAATTATAATGGTGAAAAGAGTTAAATTTAAAGTTATATATGAGTATGTTTACAACCTGAGAGAACAAAACTCTTTACAGGGTAAAATATTAAAAATAATGCCAGAATTTCAGTAAACTTATAGAAATATTATGAAAAACAAGAAAAAAATATTATAGAGTGTAATTTCAAAGCTCAGTCATAGAAAAAGGAATCCCATGGTCACCAACAAAGGATGAGGAATGGAACTCATTGCTGTGCTGCATAACAGAAAAATTTGCTGTTATCAATGGCAAATGAGAGGACAGGATTTTGCAGGCATTTTATTTCAACTAACTGGATATGAATTTACCATTATAGTAATGCAGATAAATATGCTTAGGCTTTCAAAAGCTAAGCATAGAAAAGAAGAAACTGGAAATGTAATGTTTGACTTCAGGATGGGACTGAAGGTGACTATTCTTCCTTCCTTACTGTTTCTTCTTTCCAAATATTCTTTCATTGAGCATTACTTTGATCCAAATTCTAAAACTCAAGAAGCAATTCTATTATTCAACAAAAGAAACATAAGGTGTTCTGAAAGTCAGAATATTGACAAAAATCTCTTTACCATTCCCTGTCTATTATAGTTGAAGAAAACAGAGGAAAAACAATTGCTAAAAAGAGTAGAAAAGTCTTTTGAGAAAAGCACACAGCAGTCCTTACTTTGGAAACAAAATAAATTGATTATTTGATCAAAAAAACTTTTAGCTGCTATGAAAGGAAAATATCTTGGGCCCCCAAAATCACTAAGCCAAAGGGAAAACTCAAGCTGAGAACTGCTTAGGACAAACCTGCCTCCTCGTTCTATTCAAAGTCACCCCTCTGCTTGCTGAAATAAATGCGAATCTGATTGCCTCCTTTGGAAAGGGTAATCAGAAACTCAAAAGAATACAACTACTTGTCTATTAACTACCTATGACCTGGAAGCCCCCTCACCAATTCGAGTTGTCCCACCATTCCAGACCAAATCAATGTTCATCTTACATATGTTGATTGATAGCTCATATCTTTCTAAAATGTATAAAACCAAACTGTGCTGTGACCACCTTGGGCACATGTCATCAGGACCTCCTGAGACTGTGTCATGGGTGTGCGTCCTCAACCTTTGCAAAATACAGTTTCTAAATTAACTGAGATCTATCTCAGATTTTTGGGGTTGACATTTTGGTAACCACAGAGGGATTCTGAGTGTAGGTGCCTCTGACCTTTGACAAATCTCCTATGGGTGCTTGGTACCAGCTTGAGTGATCTTTATGGCTCAAACCAATAGAACAATTTCCTGAGGCCTGGAAGCACCCCATTCAGAGTATCCCTGGTCTCCCAAAATTTGGTTGAGATCTAAAGTTTATTTTGCTGTACAACTCCTTTTTTTCCGGAGTTTTATTTGCTTCTAATGAAGAGGGAGACCCAGGCTTCTCAGATCAACTTCCCTTTTGACTATCATACTGCATTTCAATAGAAGAAAAGGTTGACCAACTGGTGCCTCCAGTTTTACCTTCCTGTAGGTGACAGGCTAGGCCTTGGGGAAACTCTCCAGAAGGCACTATTTTTACTTAAAACAAGATCAAACCAGAAACCTTTTCACATGTGAATCCTAAAACTGTAAACCTGAACCCTTTCATATGTGATTCCTAAAACTGTAAACCAAAACCTTTTCACATGTGAGTCCTAAAACTATAAACCTAAGATTCTTCCACGTGTAACATCTAAAGTATAAGCCTATATAAAGGCAGAACCTTCCTTTGTTAGAGGAGCTGAGTTTTTGACAAATTACTGCCTGGTCTCCCGGCTGAGTAAACTCCTCCCTCTTTTATTCGGTGTTCAAGAGGTCTGTTTACCGCGGCCACTCCTGCTACACCAACACAAGAAAGGCAAATTTTTCTGTTTCCATGATGATGGAAGGCAGGTAACTCCTTTAGGGAATTTGAGGTTGCTTCCAATAGGTAGGATGAGGGTTTTTTCCTGCTTCTAGGATGGTAGAGAGAAGCCTTCAGCTTAAGGCCCATCCTTAGATAAGTGACCGAATTGCGGTTTGTCTTAGCTAAAGTTAAGATTAACAACCAGCTGGTCTTAATTTCTCCTTACCATTAGAGCACTCGTTAACAACATAAGTTGTGTGATCATTTGTTTTGCTTAATTTTTTTTTTCTGTTTGTTTCTGTTTTTGTTACGGTTTTGGTCTTTTTACCATTGGGTTTGATCAGCTCTATCTGACTTGATCAAATCTGAAGGAAGTTCCAAATTATGGGGAACAAGGCCTCCGAAGTGGGTAAATACCTACCCACCCACCCCCCAAAAAAACGGCATGTGGTTGGGGGAGAAAAATGTCCAGCAAAAGGAAAAAAAAAAGAGAGGAAAGATTTTTTATTTTGATGACTAAGGGGCTTTATTTACAAAACAAGACCACCTTTTTACTAGCCAGACCAAAGAGAAAGAGCAATGGCTGTGTTTCTGAAATTGCAGCAATTTGTCCTAGTTGAAATATGGTAATTAGAGTTTAAAAGATTTTTTTTAAAAGGAATTCAATGGTTAAATGTCAGCTTAATTAAAAGCTAATATCCAAGATGTGTGTTTGTATTTAAAAGGCCTTCATGTCTTTTTTTTTTCTCCTAAAAGCTTGTCTTTTTGAAGATTCACGATTCAGTGTGGGCTCTGCCCAGAGATCCAGTGAAAAGATAGGTAGTCCTTATTTAATTAAAATTGGACTCCTTATGCAATCCTATGATAGATCTCTATAATTTAATGTTTGAGTTGGCATCCACCCTTAATCTCCCTCCAGCACCACCAGACTTATTCTTTCCATACCTTATGATGTAAATTTTGCTATTTGAGTTTTACCTGCATTGTCTCCATTAACATACAAATTTAAGGCTATTTAGCTGACTACTGCCTAGGGTTGTGAAACAGGTTATCAAGATTCTGAAAGTCTAAAATAGGGAAAAACAAAAGATTTTTTATAAATCTATAAAATGTACTTCTCTTGGCATGCCTAATACATCTATGGATTTATGCATTGTGAACACAATGTTTCACTACTAATATAAAAGAGCTCTAATTAATTAAGAAAATTAAAGCACTTGAATCAGGTACTTTATCAGGAAAAAAGGAAGGACTAGTCAAATGGTTTTTCTTTACAAAACTTAAGTAAAACCATTATTTTTTAAATATTGGTAATATTTAAAATATTGGTAATAGCTTTAAAATTATTGGTAAAGTGATATTAAAAATGTCTTAAGAATTGCCATCAAACATTTTTGTTTGCATATATTAATCAAGTGATTTAATACTTAACCCTGTCAAATACTACAAGATGTCAAAATTGGGCATAGGGGCTACAAAACTATAAACCCAGCCCAAGACAGAATGATCTTTGCTTGTGTAATTTTTAATAATTAAGACTTTGATATTGGTTTAAAAAAGATAGCTACATCTTTAATTTAGTAAGATTACCATAACTTCTAATCTTGTGGATTTAGGCAGTCTAGTCCACAAACAGTAAGGTTTGTTTTGGGAAAACACTGTTATTGTATTTGTTTCAAAGCTAAACTGTAAACTAAGTTCTTCCTCCTTTTAAAGCAAACTAAATATGGCCTGAGAAGGACTCTGAACCTCTATATTTGAGTGCTTATGGATGAAATGCAACCTAGCTTAATAGGTAGACAAGATTGAAACCCTAACTTAGAAGTATGTGCCTGTAACAATAGCTGAGTCTTGGCCAATCAACCATTCACACACTGCTGAGAATTCAAACTGTGTTCAAATAAGACAAATGCCAAATTGTAACCAGTATAGCCATTTTGGACCTCACTTCTGATTTCTGTGGATCATTTCCTATTTTTGTTTATAAATCTTCCACCATATTGCTGTGCTGAAGTCTCTAAATGAATTTGCTGTGATTCTGGGGGCTGCCTAATTTACAAATTGTTCATTGGTCAGTTAAGTTCCTTTAAATTTAATTTGGCTGAAGCTTTTCTTTTATCAGATGGTGTCAGAAGCGGGATGCGAGGTAGAGCTTCTAATGAGCCCTAGGAGCACTGAGTGAACAAACAAAGTACCTGCAGGACCCACTTTTGTCCATTGATCTCTCAAAGCCACTGGGGATCCTGGGTAAGCTCTCTCTTGGATTTAAGAGCTCCATGGATTTGTGTTTTTAGCTCTCTGAGTTTCTTCAAGCAAATTTATGATCCAAACTGGGTTTGAAAGTGACAACAGAAACTGGGCTGGGACTGAGAGTGGATTTGATCCAGGAATTAACTGCTTGGATCCAGTTAGAGGCTCCTTATGTCTGACTGGGTCAGAAAGGAACTGGTAATAAGCAGTAATAGTGCAGGGATTATAAAATTTAGCTCTTGGAAAATCACAGGGATTTTTGTGTTCTACCCCTTTGCTTCATTTTTCTAGCATGCTCAGGTAGGAAAAATCAACAGAACCTGAGAGTAAAGCCAATATTTTAGGTAAAAATGGGATTCTTAATTTCTGGAAAACTGAGTTATTTCCAGCTTATACATTAGGCTCTGGAGGCAGTGAAGTCTTACAGTAATGGCAAAATCTTACTAAAGATAACTTACAGTGGAACATTCCAAATGAACAACAACTCATTGAAGTACATTTAAAAATGATGGTTCTCAGTAAAGGCCCTTTTGGCTAAGACCAGGTTTGGCACTGCAGGATGTTAACTGCTATTGTTTTTGGATTAATCTGTATTATATGTTTTGCTGACAGCTATGGGTGACAGAATAAGGCATGTACAGGACCATGGGACATGGGGAGTTTTTCCTTCCCAAAAGGGGAAATTTGAGAGCTGATGGGACTGCTGGAAAAGATCCCTTTGCTATCAAGTGACTGCTTGAACTTTTCGGTGTTGCTGAAATGGTTAAGTCTTTATCTGGCCTTCCTGAGTACTTCACCTTCCCCACCCTGCCACAGGCAATACTTTTCTTTCCCTACTTTACCTTTTCTATCTTTTCTATTACTAAGGGCAGCCATCTTGCCCAGAGACCACATGTTGAAATTCCTAGTTGGAGGTTGGACTAAAAGATGACAGGGCCCATCTGAGGGCAAATTTAAGCCTTGCCAGTTTGATATTGGGTGTTAAGCAGAGTGGCTAATGTCTATGTTTCATCACACATACTTTGCTCTGGGCAGTACAAAAAAGAGATAATTTTCCTTTATCATGATGAGTTGGCATCATAAAGGATGATGGTGCAGCAAAGTGAATCCCTAGGGCTGCTTAGGGAAAGCTGGGTCTCATGCTTTGAGAAGCCTGGCATGCTGGCAAAAGTATTAGAATTCCTTAGCAGTCAGATTTCTGGCTTTTTTCCCTCTTTCTCTGTGCAAACGGGTTAAACAAATGGTAAAAATTAATGCTTCTCTCCTCTGTAAAGTTTTGATTAATATAAAAAAGAATTCTGAGGTTGGTCTTAAGCTGTAGTGAATCTGATGTTCTTTGTGTGTTTTTATGTGTTGTTCTGCCATAAAGAGCAGTATCTTAGGATAAAATGCATGCCTAAAACCTCATAAGCCTGATGTTCAAGACGGCCCAAAAAAATGGTCAGTTATACCCTTGGGAGATTGACCTTGTAACCATGTGGCCATGCTTTCTCTTTTCACAATGGCAGCCTGAGTTCAGGGTTTAATCCCTAGCTTAGGGGATGAGGCTTCTGGTTGGTATTTGGGTAAACTTTGCCATTTTTTGATTCTTTTCCCCTCCATGAACTGTCTTAAATTTTCCTTTCTCTGAGGTTATTTTTGGAAAGTTTAAAAGCCAGAAATATCAGCTGTTTGGCCTGGCTAAAATTGAGCAATGAGAAATTTTAAAAGGATTTTATTAAAGAGTGCTAAAGTTAAAAGCTTAATTATAAGTGAATATTCAAGCTCTAACAGCCTGGGACTCCTTGGGAAGAACAGAAGTCACCAGAGACCTTTTCCAGGTCCTCTTTTCTCAAGGACTCCACCCTAAAGCCTGTAACCCAGTTAAGAAACTTTAAAACTGACAAATGAAAAGTCTTACAACTACTGTAGTAATCTTCTTCTGTCTGTGCAGTTATGTGTGTTGTGTAAGAAATGTTTATATATAAGAGCTCTAATTGTCTTAAAGCACTTATATAGAATAATTTGGAAGAAAAATAAAAACTGTAATATCTTTTAGTTCATGTATCTTTAGTAATCTTTGTGAAATAAACAGCTTTGAAGATTATTAATAAAATAAAGACAGTCTAAATCATGCAGGCGAGATACTAGGTTTGCTTAATGCTTAAGGCCATAAACTGCTCAGACTTTTGAAAATTGTTCAATTTATTTTGGAGACAAATTTTAAATAAGGCCTGGGGTTATGTGGCATTAGCCTTCCCCCTAGCTAGGCAAAGAAAGTTATAAATAAATAATATTTTATATAAGAAAGAATATTGTATGGTAAATTCTTGTCTTAAAGTAAAGTGACTGGTTGTTTAAAAGGAGATGTTTAGGACAAGTCAGAAAGCCCAAGCATATCATAGATGGTCTGTATAAGTCATGAAGGGATTTGTAAAAGAAAATTTATGCACAAAAAGTTAAAGTTGCTAAGAATTACCATTATAACATGTAATTGAGACTACTGAAAAAATATGTTTACATGCAAGATGTGTGAAAATAATGGAATGTATTTTGGGTAAGAGATTATAAGAAGGCATGGAATATATAATTGTGCCTAGTTTAGAGAGTTATAGGACTGTTTTAAGTTAAATAAGATAAATCTAAAGGTCTAAATGAGTTTTGGAAGGTTTGTAAAATGAACCTTGTAAAAGAAATAATGTGTGTGAAAATATTGACTAAATTTAAAGGGGTACTATGCATTTTTTCTATAAATTGAACATCAAATAAAAGCAAAACAGGGTTTTCTTGAAGCACTGATCTGCCACTTAACATAAATTTGTAAAGGGTTATAAAAGGTTTATAAAAATCTTGCCTTAGTGTGAAACTGATTAAGATTAAGTAGATTTATCTATGAGGTTTCATTAAAAATTGGGGTTGACATTAATAGTCCACTAATGCAAGGATGAAATTTGGTCTTCTCATTTAAACAAGATTTTTATGTAATATTAAAAGATAATAAAAGATATTTGTTTGCCTAATAAATACGCTACCAAAGAAAAGAAAAAGAAGGGAAAGACAAAAGACAGATTGTTTGGAAAGCTAAGTCTTCCCTCCATTAGTGAGTAAAGTTTTTTGCCTTTTTAAAAAATTCCTAGTCATCATTTTGGCTAAATGAACAACTTGGGGTGACCTGAAATTCTAGTTCATAATATCAAGTGTTTTAAAGCTTTAACATATTAAATAAGCTTCCTCAAATTGAATTTTAGCTTCAAAATGATCTTCTTCCTAGGATTCAGCTTTTCTGTGGCCTGATGCCAACAATGTTTTCTTAAAGGTCTCAAGGAAATATTTTCCTATACCACAATATTCTGTGCACAGAACATCTTTTCTTTTGCCTTTTGGTAACTGGCCTAATGGATTTTACGTTTCATTGAAATAATTCCTATGTCATTATTATTAAGTTATGTTTGCTTAGGAAAAACTGAAATTTTAAAAAAAATTTTAATTAAGGTTATTAGATCATTGAATCTTCTTGTATGTGCTTTTTAAGTCCTTATTACTTTCTTTTTTTTGGCAGTGTCTCACTCTATTGCCCAAGCTGGAGTGCAGTGGTGTGATCTCAGCTCCCTGCAACCTCTGCCCTCCCAAGTTCAAGCAATTATCCTGCCTCAGCCCCCTGGGTAGGATTATAGGCACCTGTCACCATGCCTAGCTAATTTTTGTATTGTTAGTAGATTTTGTATTGTTAGTATTCACCATCTTGGCCAAGCTGATCTGGAACTGGTTTTACAAGGGCTTTAACTCCTGGGTCTAAAAAGAACACCAAGTCCTACTAAATCATAAACATTGATAGCAATCAAAGCCTCATATTAAGACCTGATAGAAAATGCCAATTAAAATAAACTGTATTCCTGAGACACAGGGTCAGAAATTAAAGTTATTCAACTATTCAAGGCCCAGGAACAATTGCAGAAGAGGTGGGCATGTAAGATTGGAAGCACCAATTTTGAGAGATAAAATAAGTTGTTTCTCCATAAACTAGTCATTAATGGCAAAGGGACACCGATGCAAAACCAGGATATGAACCCCTGTGTCAGATTAACAAGGGTTTTTGAAACATTAACCAACTCCTTAATAAAGGTCACAAAGGTTATAAAAGATTATGGAAGTTATAACCTATAATCAAGATAAAATTTTATAGATTGTTTATAAAATTTTGGAAAACAAATTTAATTGGCTTTATGCTGTTTAGGGCTTATTGTTTGGAAAATTTGTTTCCTCAAAGAATGAAGGTTTTTACCTTTCTTTTTTTTTCTTTTTTAGAAATCCTTGAGTTACCACTTTGGTTAAATGAATGACTTATTTTACAATGACCTGCAATCCTATTTTGTAGTATCAAGTGTTTTAAACCTTTGGTATTTGACAAACTTTCCAAAATCAAATTATAAATTATGTCATTTTCTGATGTAATTAATCCTTTAGGATGTTATTCATAGGTTCCCTAAACTCCAAAAATGACATATTTGGCTTATTTGCTATAAAAATTATACAGGAAGCATTGTCAAGTATGAAATGCTGTGTGTTTTTCTTTGGACTGTATTTGTATAATTATGTTTTTGATATGTGTTCCAAAATTATCAGAAACTCCTATAATTCTGATATGGCTTAATGTGTGTTATCAGTAATAGTCATAATTGTTACCTTAAATTATTGTGTGCCTTGGAGGTAACAAATTACCTTGTCAATTGTGTCTTTGACTATGGTTATCCTGAAACTTTTTGTCATCCATGGACAATTCTTGTCTTGTTTTGGTCCTCTTTAGAAGGTGGTTTTATAGTCTTCTATTAAACTCTAACAGGTGCTCTAGAACGCAGGTTTCTGATAACTTTGAAGGTTGTGACATCAAAATAGAGAAAAAACTTTCAGGACTCATGTAGAACTGAAACGTTCATGAATATCAAGCAGAACAGGAATCAACTTCATGGACTAAACTAATAGAAGACCAAAATATCTTTTCGAGTTTTGATTAAAACATTGCTGATCCTTTGTTTTGCTTTTCAGAGTTAAAAAAAAACTTGTAAGATATTTACAGATTTTAACAATTGATTAAAATATATTCCTATGTACAAAATTTGGAACATATTTGTTTCTCTTTACCTTATTTCTACAGAATTTGGAAACTGTAGTCTTAACTTGTGACAATCTAGTTAGTTGCATAAGTGCAATAAGAATCTGTTTTCATTTGTTACAGGACACAACTGGAGAAGCTGGTTATGTTACCAAGACTTTGACTGGAATGGTGTATTTTCCTTTTAGGGATCAACTTATTGAGCCAATAAAACTTCTTGAAAAAATGGGCTGCATACCTTTGTCTACACAGTCCCTGTACAGGGTTCCCAACCTGTGGGAAAGAATGCACTTTCTGACAAGTCTGGGACCCCAAGTTTATCTTGGAACCTCAAGAGGAAAGGAATTCACCAAATCATAGGATCATAGGTATTTAATGGTACAAGTACATGACTGGGCTCGGCTTTAAAAAAATCTTACCTGAGATTCCTTCTATGGAACAAAGTTTCAGCAAGGCCAATTTAAAAGCCTATGTAGGATGGGCCTGCAGGCTTACACACATAATCCCAGCACTTTGAGAGGCTGAGGTGGGTGGATCACTTGAGGTCAGAAATTCAAGACCAGACTGGCCAACATGGCGAAACCTCTTCTTTACTAAAAATAAAATAAAAAATTAGCGAGTCATTGTGGTGCACACCTATAATCCTAGCTACTCAGAAAGCTGAGGCAGAAGAATCACTTGAACCCAGGAAATGGAGGCTGAACCCATTGCATTCCAGCCCGGGTGAGAGAGACTCCATCTCAAAAAAAGAAAACAGCCTATGTAAAAATTAATTATTCTTGCTACAGTATATACGAATAATTAGGCCAAGTACAATAAAGCAAACTAGTCCTACTACGATTTGTCTTTAGTAAAAATGGGAAACTGGAGAGAGAAAAATTAGGTTTCAAAAACTGTAGTACACATAGGGTTAGATTCTAGTCTTACCTATTGTTTTTCAATTTTTATTATTTTCTACTGTTTGGAACAAATTCTAATTTTTTCTTGGCTACAAGTCTTTAAAATACCGTTTTCATTTTTTTTTCTCACCCCACCACCTTTTTCCTAATTCGGAGTCACTGAAAACTAAGCTATGCTTCCATAAAGCCCTGCAAACTAAAGCTAGACAACTTAAACTTCAGAAGAAAATAACAGCAACCTATTTATATACATAAGCCACTTTCCTACGTGCCTGCGGATGTAGGGACTTCAGAGTAATGTGGCCTATATTGATTTTCCAGGATGTTCTTTCTTTCTTGTTATTTTTCTCCCTCCCTCCCCGTATTTTTTTTCATAGTACATGCGACTTCACAACCTTCTAAAAATGACCTTTTTCTAAGAACTTGAGACCTACCTGTCTAGGAATAAATCATCCTAGCCAAGAGGTCTCATCCTAGCCTGAGACCAAAGACTCATTTTCTTCTAAAATGCTTTCTCCAAAAGATTTTAAAAATTAAACTGGGGGAAATGTGAAAAGAAAATACTTTGGGACCCCCAAATCACTAGGCTAAATGGAACAGTCAAGCAGGGAACTGTTTAGGGCAAATCTGCCTTCCATTTTATTCAAAGTCACCCCTCTATTCACTGAGATAAATGCATATCTGATTGCTTCCTTTGGAGAGGCTAATCAGAAACTCACAAGAATGGAGCCATTTGTCTCTTATCTATCTTTGACCTGGAAGTCCCTTTCCTGCCTTTCCAGACCGAATCAATGTTCATCTTACATAGATTGACTGATGTCTCATATCTCCCTAAAATGTATAAAACCAAACTGCTCTGACTACCTTGGGCACATGTTATCAGGACTCACTGAGGCTATGTCATGGGCATGTGTTCTCAACCGTGGCAAAGTAAACTTTCTAAATTAACTGAGATCTCTCTCAGATTTTCAGGGTTCACATTTCAAATGACAAATATAGCAGAGAGGTAAAGTTGAAGAAGATGCTGAAAGATCTTTTTAATATTAAGTGTTTCATTAAAGCAAACTAATGAGGCCCACTGGTATTAGGAAATTAAGTTCTTCATTTGTGGGTAGAGATTTTCTTAATATAATTTTTTGATAGAATGCTTTCAAAACCCTCAGCAGGTATGCTCAGAGCATAACAAAAAAGCCAAACAAAGGAGTGCCTAGACAAGTAAAGCTTTCCCCTCTGTAATCAGTGAGGTCACATCTGACAACTTCCTCTGAAGTGGCTAGAGGCCCTTTCTATCATTATTAAAAATAGATGAAAATAACCCATGTTGATGTTTTGTTCTCTAAGTCAGCAATTTTTTGAGTGACAAAGATGTTTTCCAAATATTACATTTGAGTGGATCAAGTGATAAATGAGTAAGTTATCTGTGCCTCTAAGTATCTTGCCATTGTACCACCATTGTTTTATTTAGCAATAAAATGTTACTGAAACAGCAGTACCGAATAGAATACCTTCTTATTTTCCTTTACTAGTTAATGTGAGAAGACAACACCTGCCTGTTTCAGTCCCACAAAAATGGTTTTAACATGGGGGAACAGAAAATTCAAAGGTTTTGTGGCCCACTATAAAACAGTTCTTTCTTTTCCCACTAATTCCCTAATGTCACATTTAAAAACAAGGAGACTACAGATAATAGAGGTGCTTGCACATTAGCCTTCAAAGTCATAAATAACATAGAGTTTTGCTCACCTACAAATATTAAAGCAGCTTATCAATGTGTAAGCCCCCTTCCTCTTTGTAATGGTTGCTAACATTTTAACCCAGACAAATTGAGAATTTTTTTCTTTCCTGTCTTCTTACATTGACAGAGTACACATTCATAAGATTTTATTATCATATTTCATGGTATAAAGAGTGAGACATCACCTAAACACCTACCTACACCTGAGAGGCCCTGTTTTGGAAGATGCATCTGATTTATGCTTTCTTTATTTTGCTCTCTCTTAGCGATGGTTTTAATCCTAACTGCCCTGGCTGGAAGATGTAACTGTGATTCTATGCAGTCAGTGCAATGCTACAGACTAACGGAGGTACTGTCAAATATTCCTTCCACCACCAATAGGCTCTACATTAGCTACAGCAAAATTCAGCACCATAACATAGGTAACTATGTCATGTGGCACTCAAATTGTTGCAGTTTTACTTTGCAAGACAGAGACAGTGTGGGAGGCTAGTGTGGGGTTGTTACATTTATTTTAAATAATCATAACTTAAAACCTAGTTTTGTTTATTCCATAGATGGAAGATGATACTTAAAGCATCATCAGACTACCATAGCGAACCCAGTATTTCAGAAGAATTCATACAAACTCTACATATCAGTCAGGTGTCAGTGTCTTTGTGGAAACCTATACAGTGGAAGTAAATTTTTTTGTTTTGCCAAGTTACCTGCAGTTCTCATTCTATGTGCTTTTAATTATGAATTTTATTTTTATTCCCACTTATCCAGAGGACACTGAAAAGAGTGCTATGGATTTGTCTGACTTATATAATGTAAATGCACTTTTATTTTTGATCTCTGATATTTTGAAAATTATCAAGAGTTCTCATCCCAGTTTCCCCCGCTAATCAGAGATGTGACTATCTTAGGCTGGCTGTTAAATAAATCCCTGGTCTGCACCTTTATGAAGAAAGAAGGCTGGATTAGATAGGTAATCCCAGGCCACTTCTATATGGAAAATTCTATGGCTCTCTAAATTTCCTTTACTATTCACTGCTTCTCCCTCAAAGATGCAAATTCTAAACTGATTGGCAAAAAACTAAGATAAAGAAATGCCTCTCTGTGAGCCAGGTGCAGAGAGGCAGCAGGTAAGTGTAACTTACCTTCAAACCAAGACACCATCCCTTTAATTTGGTTAAGAAGTGTTCATATGGGTGTCCCATAAACACACAGAGTTTAAAATATGTGGCATGGTATTTAGATGCTGTCCCAATAAACACAGTTGTCTTGTCTCCATCTGTTTGCTTTTGTCTTCTAACCCTGTAGTGCCTAACACCAGATAGCAAGTCTGTCTCCATTAAGTGTAAATGTTCAAGCAAGACACCTGGTTACAGGGTAAGCTGCTTAAATATTTGCTCAAAGGACTTGAGATGCCTATTGACGGAAAGTCAACTAATCCTGGTAATGATTCTACAGTGCTACTTTGTAGCCAATAAGATAAAATTATACCTCTTGTCAAATTCAGTTATTGGATGAGTCAATTTGTTGTTGGTTTAGTTTCATTGAAGAGCAGCATTGCCACTTCACTGACTTTAGGTAATTATCTCTTGGAAGGACAGTTCACAACAGAACCATAATAAAAAGCAGGATTATTTCGTTAAGGAAAATGAAGGTGTTTTTTTGATGAAAGTTCTGACCAATGATACTTGTCTTTTAGAAATACTTAGGTTTTAAGTGACCATATCTCACTTGCATTTGGTAAATACAATGTATATTCTGTTTATTGGGTTTGAATTTACAGAATCCTTCAGTATCTTCCAAAACTTCAGTATAGTGTTGGGTTGCATACTCAATTCCTGCCATACTCATTCTCAGTGAATAGCTGGCCTCCCATTTTATTGACAAATGACAAGACTTGATCTCCATCAGTTCCTGCTCACTGTGTACAAATTTGTCTCCATCTACATCTGCAAACTTTTCTCCAGAGAGGACATGTCTCTCCTTGTATTCAAGACCCTTGATTCCATCCTTCTCACCTCTCCCTAGACCTTGCTCTCTCACTGTCTGCACTCCCATATATTCTGTTGCTCTTTCTTCACTAGCTGCTCTCTACCTTCCTTGGCCTCCAGAGTGCTGGGATTACAGGCTTGAGTTACCACACCTGGCCTAATTTATCTTTGTTTTCTTTTGTCATTCATCATTTGGTGTCACATCTAAGTTAGCTTTACCTAATCCAAGTTCATGAAAATCTAATGCCATATTTTATTCTAAGAGTTTTACAGTTTTAGCTTGTACATTTAGGTCTGTGATTCATTTTGAGTTATTTTCGTGTATGGCATAAGAAAGGAGTTTAGCTTTGTTCTTTTGTTCCCTCTGCCCTGTTCTGTTGCTATTCACTGACTCAGACTTCACTCTCAAGACATGATGAACTACTTAGCTGTGTTGAATGGAAGACTTAATGAGCAACTGATTACATGTGATACCAAATGGACACTTTGCTAGGTGACTCAATTCACTCCTTTTTAGAGGATTGTAGATTTGGTTCAATTCTTTGTGTCCACATATGCAAAAAATCATTACGTTTACTTCACTATTGCCATTCAAATGGATATAAGCCAAAGTGATATATTTTCTTCAAAGGTGGAAGACAAATGAGAATGTAGTTATGGTACTGGTCAGTTAAAATGATTGTGCTTTATATCTTCTGTGGAAGAGAAGAAGCTTCTTCAAATTCTTCCTAAGAAATATATAAATAGGGATTATTACTTAATGGGGGGGATTATGGGTTATTTTATATTCTCTCCATATTTTACGGAATTTAAAAATTGTTTATAGAGAACAAATGTTGCTTTGATGATCAGGACAAAATCCAACACATATCTCCCAGAATATAGGTACCTATAATAAATATATAATACAAAATTAACTCACCTTGAAGGTGTGAATCATGTATTCGTATTATAAAAGTGCTCAACTGCATAATCAAGTCAAATATTTAAAACTAAGGGTAGTAAGACACATGAAATTGTATACTGAAAATTCCAGCTTCATTGAATTCTAAGGCAGATTGAAAATTTTGTGAAGATTTATCAACCTGAAGAAAACCTGGAACAATTCCTTTTTCTGCTTAAACATAACTTTACTCCTAACACTAAATAAAGATGATTACATCATTGACAAAAAGACCTGCGCATTAAGCTGAGAGGTTAGCAGGCATGTAGAGAGATAGGGGAACTTGCAAAACATGAAGGCAGTATATCAGATTTGACAAATACCTGAATTCTAGGAGAAGAGTGGCATTAGGTCTGGGATATATGCATGAATGAACTCTTTGCTCTACAGAGATAGAGGGAGATAACATGTATATATTCGTTTCTTTATGAATTTTCTTTCATTGGTGAAGTGAAAATTGGGCATAGGAAACAGTTAAGCTCATTTTCCAAAATACAATATAGTTGAAAGTGTTTCCAGTAAGTGCATCCTAGTGATAGCCTAGGACATTTATGTTTTTTTTTTTTAACTTTTAATGCCTTTTAAAAAGTGTGATTCATAATGTTAAACAATACAAAATGTACTGAGTGAAAATCCTTTGTAATCTTACCCTCTAGATTTAGAAACTGCTAATAATTTGGTGAAAGAGTTCCAGATTGTTTCAATTTATGGCTATTATAAGATGATACAACAAAGAACATCCTAGTGCATGAATCATTTTGCAATTTGTAAGTATCTCTGCCTAGAAGTGAATTTGCTGGGTCAGAGATATGTAGTAAAAGTTGGCCAATATTATATGTCTATCAATAATGTGTGAAAGTGCTTAGAATATTTTTCATACCTTACACTGATGTTATCAATCATAAACAAAAATAGTCGGGATCTGAGTTTCAACCCTTTTCCAAGAGATAATATAAAATAGAACCCGAAGAGAAATCTGAAGTATTATTAGTATTGTAATGATGGTATATATGATATTTTTTAAACAATATTAATTTATTGCTTTTTCTGCCCCTTCCCTGCCTCCACATTTTTTGTAGCTGTCTGACTTCCACCAAATGTTGGCTCTAGAAGATTTTATTCTGCTTGCCAGTGGAACAGAGTCAGTAGAAAATGACACCTTCAAAACTCTGGGTACTTTGAAGACCTTAGAACTCTGGAAAAATAAGACAAGACCCTAGTGCTCTCCCAGCCAGTCTTGAAGTGTTAATTCTAAATGAGAACTCAATAAATGTCCTACATGGTTCAGATTTTGAAGGACTGATGAAATTAAAAATCCTTGAACTTAAAAACAACCTGATCTCTTCCTTCTCTCCCAGCATGCTTTCCTCCCTTGTCAGTTTGCAAAGTTTGATGTTGGATGGCAACGATATGGAGGCTATAGCTGGACCTCTGTTACTTCCCCATCTGACACATATGAGCTTGGAGAATAATAAACTACATCTTATACCAGGTAGCTTCTTTACTTCTCTACAGTCTTTGCACAACTTCTCAGTTTCAGTGGTAACTTTCTGACTAAAGTTTCTATCAATCTACCCAAATCCTTGCTATCTTTAAAGATGGAAAGAAACCAGCTCAGAATGGTAAGCTTTCGAGACATGAAACACTTGGAGAATCTTTCCCATCTTTACCTGTCAGAAAACTTACTCTCTTCCGTCAATGGGGCACAGCAACTTACAAATTTAACCACTCTTGAGTTGTCCCCAAACTAGCTGCAAATGTTGCCCTTCAGACTGCCAGTAAAGCTACAAAAACTTGACTAGCAATAATCTGATTCAGAAAGTTACAGCATAAGACTTCCAGGACCTTCGAGACTTGAAACATTTGTTTCTGGACAACAATATTGTGAGTTTGTTCGAAGCTGGAGCCCTGCAGAGGTGTTCTCAGCTCTCCAACCTGGCCCTGGAGCAGAACCTGCTTTTGTCCATACCCCTAAGGCGAGTGAGTGTTGTAATTTATTGTAGCTACCATGTTAGTTTTCTGAAGCTTGGGACAATTGAGCACATCATCTAAGAAAGAAAATTAGAGCAAAGGTGAATTATCTGATCAAGCCTAGACAAGGATTTAGGGATAGAAGTTTCAAACAGAGGTGTGGAAACTCCAGCACTCAAACTAAATATTGCACTAACTTTATCTTGCCTCTGGGACAAGACACCAACAGATGATATGTATATTTGCAAACATAATATAAAGATACTGTAAAGAATGTGTCTCAGTTTCTAAGTACTGTATCTGGCCTGGATAATCAACAGTCAGTAGGCCTGAGCTTAGCCGCTAGCAAAGCAAGGACACCAGGAAAAAATAAGGGGGGAAAATATAGTAAGATATTGATATTTTAAAATGTATTAAAGTAGAAGTTATTAGGGAAAAATTAAAACATTACAATGTAGTATTGTATTTATTTTGAATTACTTGTTGGGAGCCTCATATTCTTTTCAGTGCCATGATCTTTAAAGGGCTTAAGCTGGCTTTGCTTATTTCTCTGTGTGTCTGTTCGAGTGAGTGAGTCCACCAGGTTTGTCTTACCTTGTGGTTTTGGTTATCTCTTCAGTTTTCTCTCTCTCTCTCTCTCTCTCTCTCTCTCTCTCTCTCACACACACACACACACACACACACAGGCCCTCACACTTGGACAATTTCTCTTCCCAAATATCCCTCCCTCTATATCCAACCTGCTGCACCTGTTCCCCCTACTCCTCATAATTTATAACTTATGCAATATGTGTTTATATTAATTGATCCTATTTCTTTAAACTTTATTTCATGTTCTACATTTTAAAGTAGATAAATCATAAAAATGTAGGATGAAACACTGTTATTCTCTTTAAAATGATACTGTTTGTCTATCAGTGGATTCTTTTTTTTCTTTCAGCACTTGATTGAAAAAATAAAAGGCTTCTTGCCCTGGCTATTAGCATTATCAAATTTCTCATAATGAATATACCAACTTCTGCTTTCTGTATAATCCTAAGGTACTCTATTTACCTAATTTTATTGTGATATATATATATATATATATTTAAGAAGGCAGGGTCTTACTCTGTCACCAATGCTGGAGTGCAGTGGGGTGATGATGGCTCACAGCAGCCTCAACCTCTTAAAATAAAGCAGTTCTCTCCCTTCAGCCTCCTGAGTAGTTGAGACTACAGGCATGCACCGTATCTTGTTAATTAAACAATTTTTTTTAAAGAGATGAGGTCTCACTACATTGCCCAGGCTGGTTTCAAACTCCTGGAAGGAATTGATCCTCCCACCTCAGCCTCTCAAACTACTGCGATTATAGGCATGAGCCACTAATTATTGTAGGCCCAGCCTATACTAAGTTTTTATCAATAAAAAGGGAAAAATGATCTTTGATATGTAGAGATGTTCTTTTTTCTAGTTGAAAAGGGGATTTAAAAAAATTATATAGTATGGTAACTGTACTCAATGCAAAACATCAAAAAAAAGTGAGGTTTCCAAGAGAATTCAGTATTTCAAAATATATATTAAAGGTGATTTCAAAGTAATGTCTTTGACTGCATAAGCATGTATATACAACTACTTTAATCAATATGTTTTGAGCACTTATTTGCCAGGTATTTTACCAGACACTTGAGATACATCAATGCAATCAAAGAGATAAAACTTCCTGTTTTATACAGTTTAAAATCTAGCAGGGGAAGATTGACAACAAACATATTACATAAGTAAAATATATAATACTCAGACTGTATTGGGTATTGTAGCTTAGAACAAAAAAGGACATGATTACCAGGTTCAAGAGTGTAGTGGGTGAGGTGGCTGGTTGCAGTTTTAAATAGGGTAAGCACTGTAACCCTCATGAAAATATAACCTTTGAGCAAAGACTGGAAGAAGGTGAGAGATCTAGTTGTGAAGTTATCTGGGAGAAAATGTTTTCTAGACAGAAGAACAGCCAATTCAAAGGCCCTAAGGCAAAGACACACTTGCAGTGTCTCAAGACTCTAATACTTATTATTTAAATAACTTCTTGACTATGTTATAAGCCTTATTTTTTATTACTGACTGCCCGACTCCAAGGAAAAAAATAGTGTATAAAAGAAAAACTCATACAACAGGTTAGACAGTAACTATATCATGTAAAATATGTGACTGCAGGCTATGACAGCCTTGGGAAATATGGTGAACTTGGTAGGTTTTTCTACTCAAGTGACTTTTAGAAAGCATTTTGTTGAGTAGTCCTGCTAAGTTTAATGAGTAGAAAAAAATAACTTAATTATTTACTCTTGCCGAAGTATTTATGTTTTAATAAGTGATTAAAGAAAGCACAATGTTTTACCCAAATGGAATGGAATTGCAAGCCTGAGCTAGCCATAGTTCTCAAATCTGGCTTCACATTAGAATTATCTGGATAAATATTTTTAAAACACATACTTATACCTAGGCCTCACTTCAAACCAATTAAATCAGATGCCCCTGGACCCTGGCATCACGACTTTTGAAAAGCTCCCAGATGAATTTAATGTGCAGCTAGGGTCAAGAACTACTATGCAAGGAAAATGGGGCCAGTAACATGAGGTGGGAGTGGGCTTTTCCTGTGAAGCTTAAATTAAGCAACACAACTGTCTGCTCTATCAAAGTACCTGGCTAGCTGTGATAGCAAAGTTCTCATGACTTTGAAATACCCCTATCAACACTGCCTCCACTCCTCAGCCCTTTTTTGTTTTGATTGACAAGTGGGAAAGACCCAGAAGGTTTCCCTGTGGTTTTCCTCTCAATAAAAGTTAAAACATGATTGGGCACAGTAGCTCATGCCTGTAATCTCAGCACTTTGGGAGGCTGAGGCAGGCAGATCACTTGTGCCCAGGAGTTCAAGACCAGCCTAGGCAATATAGTGAGAACCCATCTCTACAAAGATTTTTTAAAAATTAGTAGGGCGTGATGGTGCATGCCTGTGGTCACAGATACTCAGGAGGCTGAGGTAGGCTGCACTGAGCCATGATTGTGCCTCTGCCCTCCAGCCTGGGTGACACAGCAAGACCCTGTCTCAAAAAAAGTTAAAACTTGAAACGTGATAATATCTATTCCTTATATTTTAATTTTAAAAATTCTTTATTTATGGCCTTTACAGATTACAACTTTTAAAAAGTTGCATGCTGCTTCTTCATATACAAAATCTATACTATGCAATTCAGTTTTCTACAAGTAAACTATTAACACAGGCAATCTGCTTCTATCACCAGTGATACTTTGGCACATCTTTTCTTTTGCCTACCATCCTCCATTCTACATTTCATCAAGAAAATAATAGTATATGCTTTTAGGTGCACGTATATTCAAAGACCTACTACATTTGCCTCATTACACTATTTGAGAGAGAAAATAAGACCTAACATTTATTGAGTACTTATTAAAACCAGTAGTGAACTTGGATACATAAAATAATTCTGTCAAGGTAGGTACACTGGCTTACCTAATAATTTACAGACTAGGGTATTATGGCTTAGAGGTATTCAGAAACTTGGTCAGCATCATAGTCAGAATTTAAACACAATCGTCTAACTCCAGAGCCAGGAAATTTTAGCCACTTCATAATCCTGCCTCTGAAGTTTACTCTACTGCTGGTAAAATAACACACTACTTCGAATGCCCAGGAACTGGACCTCAGTTGTTTCTGCTTCAGATTTCATCAATTTGCAGATTAGTGAATAAATATAAATTAGATTATCTCTTTTTTATCCACTCTCAGATTACTGAAATCTAGAATAGCTTCTTACAACCTAATGTAGATAGCACTTTATCTTATATCCAAGTGCTATCTACTGGCAAAATGGGCTATGCCCCTTTTTCATCCAAAAAGCAATAGCTACCCAAAGAACATGATAGCATTTCTAGAAAACTGTTAATTTTAAAATCAGGGCTACTTTAAAATATAAATCAGACTTATAAAGACAAATGATATCAAAGCAATAAGTGACTGTCAGAAAGTCACAAAACCAAGATAAATAGTGATTTCTCTTGCAATGTCATTTTGGTGATGACTTTCATACAAACAAGGAAAAAAAAGTCAAGCCTAAGAACAGGCACAATTTTGGGATACACATCCTAGAACTGGATAATTGCATTTGTTTCATAGAAAACTTGGCTAGCTCATTTTCATTATCTAACATTAGTTATAGGACTTCTGTGTACTGAATGCTTCATCTGTAGGATGGAAAATTAGCATCTCTAAGAAGCAAAATGACTTACCTAAAACCACGTAGTGGTAAATAGAATGGTTCAAGTTAGAACACAAGTTTTACTACATCGATACTTTTTGCCTCCTGTTTACTCTAGCGCATCTCTTCTGGTTAGGCTTCATTGTCCTCTGCAATGGGAATGAAGTGTTGCTTACTACTACACAATCCAACAGTAGTCTTTTTCTTCCTTGGCAGGGGGAAACATATACATAAGAAATTTTCTGTATACCATTTAGATAAGCTGGTGTGTGCACAAAATTATATTTTCTTGGAGATTAACTTTGAATTGAATTGAGTTATCAAACTGTTAGAATGTATAACGTGATTTTCCCTGGTAATACTTGATTAGGTAAAGTTTATTCTATCTAAGGAGAAGACACTTTAAATGATTTTTACCCAAAAAGTACAAATACTTACGTATACATACTACCGTATAGTCTAGGATATGATTACAAATATAAATGACAAATTTAATTTAGTTTAAAAAAGAAAACTCCAAAGGTAAAATTTAGGCCAAGCACCAAAAACCCAAAATACTGACCTTTTGGAATAAAATTCATGTAATAATAATATTATAACAAGTGAAAGATAATATTATCATAGAATATTGCTAAACTTATTTGTTTCTTTTTTTGATGTAGCAGTCATATAACCGGGACTGCTACAATAAACTACACTGAATACTAAAATTCATGAATATATATCCAGTGTATTCACATTGTATAAAAATAACATTCAGGTGGTATTTCAATTTGAAGGCCTTTTTTTCCCTATTAAACTTTCAGACATTTTGTATTTCAGAAAAAGGAAAGCACTTACTGCAAAATTTCCATGTAGGAAAAAGATCTTCAGGTTCACCATTGTGATTCTTTTCTACTTTTTAATCAATAGGTATGACCATGACATTTTCAAATTGGTATTCACAGTTTGAAAAAAACCTTTTATTTTCTTTCTGATTATAAAGCAATAGCTGTTCAAAGTTGAAAACTTAACATGCTGAAAAATTAAAAATCATTCAGAATTGTTCAACCAGAGCCTTTATCTAGATATAAGCACATAATTTGTTTTTACATCTGGGATCATTCAATTTTGCATTCTACTTTTTCCACTTAACATATTTTTTTTCTTTCCCTCTTCCCCTTTTCTGTGTTTTTC